TCTGTGTTCGATTATTGCTAATTGATTTGATATCCTCGGGTAGTCGGGCGTGGGCCTGGCCAACCCGAATCCGGAAATTTGGGGGTATCACAATGCGTAACTGGTTATGGTAGGTTGAGGTGTACCCTATTAGGTCTAGGTACTCATGCCTACCTTTGGGTGCGTTTTCGCATGTTGCCTTCTATTCAGGTTGAGACCCCTATTGTAGTACATTGAATGTCCTTTAGTATGGATATATATATACTTATGGACTAGATAACTATTGTGAGGTATCTAGGGTATATCTGCGTATTTGGTCACTGTATGGATTGCAATTACATTAGAACTTGTTCGCAGGCCTAACCCACTCTTTTATTCTTTTCAGGTATAGGACAGTTCCAGCCTTAGAGCTTGATCGTGCTTGTCAAAGACAGTCTCTCATTCATCTGCTAACGTAGGACTTATCTCGATGTTCTAGTTTAGCTTTATTTTCAGTTATTCAGTTCAGTTAGCATTTTTATTTAGGGGTCCACTAGATGGATTCCCAAGTTGTACTCTTGGAGGTTTTGGAGAATTGGATTAATATTATTCAGTATTATTTGGAGGATTTTATATTTAATAACTCTTTCTGTTTTGGTAGTTAAATTCTTAAATCTTTTTATTCTGTGTTCAGTTTAAAATACTTTAATTGCTTGATATTTCCCTCAGGTTTGGGCTTGGGCTTGATCAACCCATGTCTTGGATCCGAGGGGTATCACACTAGCCGAGGACCATCCGACGATCAAGTTAGTCCTTGCGATCATATCACATAATAATTGTGTATATTATGTTTAGGGATTTTTTCTCGTACCTTCTTTAACGGCTTGGTGCCCTATTTATGGCTGTCGATTGGAATCAAATTGATCCCACAGGAGATCCACTTGTGTAAGATCAGAGGAGATCGTTTGTTGCCAGATTTGTCGGGGATATGATTTACTCATTTAACTTCCTCAAATTGTGACAAGGTTATCTTCACCCTATTGAACCACGTCGTCATTCATTATCCTGGATAAGAAATGTCATCATTCTTATCTGAGGAAAATCTTTATCTCTAATAACGAAATATGTCGAAGAGGTCTGGCAGTTGGTCAAAGTAAGTTATTTTTCCCTATTAGTTGCCCCTCATTCCCAACCTTGCTCGTCTAGCTTTGGGAATGTAAATTTTTATTTATTTATTTATTTTTATTTTTTGCCCTATGGAACAGTGCCTGCGGGTACTATTTACATGAACAGTAACTTTTTTTTTTTCCCTGGGTACTCTTCCCTTGGGCAATGGTCCTTTGAGTACTGTTGCCTTGGGTACTATTTTTGATACCCTTAGGTACTATTTTTGGTACCCTTAGGCAATCTTCCTTTGGGTACTATTTTTAGTACCCTTGGGTACTCTGCCCCTGGGTACTATTTTTGGTACCCTTAGGTAATCTTCCCTTGGGTACTATTTTTGGTACCCTTAGGTACTCTGCCCCTGGGTACTATTTTTAGTATCCTTGGGTAATCTTCCTTTAGGTACTATTTTTAATACTCTTGGGTACTCTTCCCTTAGGCAATATTCCCTTGGGTACTTTTCCATTGGGTAATCTTAATTCCCTTGGTAAGGGAATAAATTGTACGAGCTTTACTCATGTCGTCCCTCCTTTAATAAGGGAATTAAATTTTACGAGCTTTACTCAGCTTGTCCCTTTAGTAAGGGATTTTTATTTACTATCCCTTATAGTAAGGGGATATTGATTACGGGATTCATTCAGCCCAGGTTTTTGTAGTATAAGACATTTATTTACTATTCCTTATAGTACGGGGATATTGATTACGTGATTTATTCAGCCCGGGTCTTTTTAATACAGGACACTCATTTACTATCCCTTATAGTACGGGGATATTAATTACGGGATTCATTCAGCCCGGGTCCTTTTAATACATGACACTCATTTACTATCCCTTATAGTACGGGGATATTGATTATGAGATTCATTCAGTCTGGGTCCTTGTAGTACAGGACACTCATTATCATCCCTTGTAACCCTTATGGGGGAAAGATGTGTAGTCTGAAGGAGGGTGACCCCTTTAATACGAGAGGTAGTCGTCTTATCTTTCTAATAAATGAAGGAAGCTTTAATATATACGACACCGCAATGATAAAACCTACTTCCCTTAATATGTAGATCGACAATTAATATCGTGTGATCCACTATTCTGCCCCAGATGATGGGATCTTGGTTGATGACCCATTTTATAGACGTTTATACAACGGACTGGGTGCCTGGGGCTGCAATAATTTACAGTTGTCTAAAAATATTAGATTGTGTTAGAAATGATTACTGAAAATTAACATGCCATAGATTATCAATCCAAAATTCTGCATAATCTGAAGTCGATAGATAATTCTTGCAAAGGAAGAGAGGTGATGACTGTCGTCTAGTAGGCGGAGGCTTTACTAGTAGGTAGAAACCCCGTGATCTTCTTGATGGGTGGAGACCAACTCTTTAATGTAGGCGCAGAAGGACCAGGCCTTAGTCTTCAACGATCAGGCCTTAGTAGTTGGCTGCGGCCAGAGATAGAGTTTGGTCTTGGATGACCAAACCTCAATAGTGAGGGGTCCAAGCATCGCTAGATGGAAAACACCACATTGGACTGCCTGGGTCGACGTGCCAAATTATGATTATTGTCATCGTATACTGGGTAGCATCACGCAACCCACTGTTTAGCCCCTAATATGATGGATAGGTAATCATGATGTAGAGACCCATCCTTATATAAGAACACGGAAACCCGTTGTCAACTGATGACTTTGGGATGGTTTTCATGATCGGAAACTGTCGTCTTGCCGTCTGAGCCAAGTCGCGTCAGGATTATTATTTCTTCAGAGAACTAATCGTTCCCACAAATGGCGCCAGCTGTTAATGCAAAAATCCTCGCGACTCGGAACGACGACGTTTGCCTGCAAAATAAAAGGACGTTATCTCGAATGGCACCGGTGGGGTGCCAGCCGAGGACCCTCCGATAATCAAGTTAGTCCTTATGCTCGTATCACCTAATAATTATGTATATTATGTTTAGGGGTTTTTTCTCGTACCTTCTTTAATGGCTTGGTGCCCTATTTATGGCTGTCGATTGGAATCAAATTGATCCCGTGGGAGATCCGCTTGCGCGAGATCAGAGGAGATCGTTTGTTGCCAGATTTGTCAGGGATATGATTTACTCCTTTGACTTCTTCAAATTGTGCCAAGGTTATCCTTACCCTGTTAAACAACGTCGTCATTCATTATCCTAGATAAGAAATGTCATCATTCTTATCCGAGAAAAATCTTTATCTCTAATAACGAAATATGTCGAAGAGGTCTGGCGACTGGTCAAGGTAGATTATTTTTCCCTATCAGTAACAAACCCATTACAATATTTCCGTCTCTTACTTCGCTAATCTCAAACAATATGCGTATGTGTTTTGTGTGTATATATAATTTTATATGTATATATATAATCAGTATGTATATACATCCGTGTATATATATTATATTCATACCATTCATCGACTCATCAGTTTTTATTATATTTTTTTATTTTTATTTCTGTGAAATCCAATGAAGACATATGAGAAAAATTGTCTTGATTCAAACTATTTTCAATATTCATAATGTTTGAGGACTATCTTGTTTTCTTTCTTGGATCTTTGTCAATTAATTTAGGTTTCATTACAAAGTACTCTCCGATTTGACAAAAGGGTTTTGCTAAGGAATTGATTTCAACAAGCATAAATGAGAATCTTAAGAGGATTCAAAGAGGCAGCCTGTGTGTGGTCGCCGTTAAGGACATAGTACATGGCAATGATGCTGGAGGAAATGAAAGCTTGACTTCATTCTCGAAACCTTCGAGTGCCTTTCTTGGAAACAAATAATGTGTAGGTATGGAGAGAGAGAGGAGCGACGAAATGGATGGGGGGTTATATGCACATATGGGTGAGGGCAAAATGAGAATCAAAAGGGTAAAATAAAATTTTCATTTTTAGTTTTTGTCAAAAAGTGATCAGATGGGCTTATTTGCACCTTTTTTGAATTTTATGAACTAACATGCACATTTTAAAAAAATAAGGACTAGTCTACACAAACCCTATATATCAAGAGTTTTTTTGCACCTAACTCAAATTAAAATAGTAATTAAAAATTTGAAGTACTTGTGTGTTTCTTTTTCTGAAAGTGAAAAATCGTTTAGTGAAGGATAATGTTTTAAATTTGGTTATTATTATTATTATTTTACTTTATGGTCACTTTGAAGCAATTTTTGTTTAAAATTGCCTACTAAAATCTATTTTCCTCTATAGAATGAGAGAAGACATGGGAAAGATAAATTGCTAAAATTAAAACTCTTTGTACTGGATTTTTTTCATCTTCAGGGCTTGAAGAACAAAAAAATGTGTTAAAAAATAAATATAATATGTAATAAACCTAAATAAATAATTATAATGTGTTTAAAAAAAATCGTTTTTTTTACTAAACAATAAAAGTAGCATAATCCACCCCGTGGTATTTTGTCTGCAGAAGTAGGGACGGGAATGGTATAAATATTTTTTTGACTTAAATAACAAAATAAAATTGATAAATATACCACGAATAACAATATGACAAGCAGCACTTTTTTAGAATGATTGTGTGACTTAGGGTAGGACTCAAATATTGTCCATATATGTGGAGGCGCAAACGATCTTTCCTAATTGTTTGTCATAATTGATTAGTATAAATAGTCTGGTTATGCTACTGCAGGAGACCTTGATGCAATTCTTCGTGTCTGGGATGAGTGGAGAGCCTTGCAGAGGCGTCCACGTACCAAGTCTTGTAACATTGTCATCGGACGCTGTAAACCGTTGTTGGACCCTGCTGCTTTGGCAAGTGCCTTGAATGATTATCTTCTTCCTAAGAAGCAACTGAGGAATATGCGACACCAAACCCATGAATCCAATTGTCTAATCCAATTGATGTTGGTAAGTTTTGTCCACTTCTTTTTTCTTTTTTTCGGTTGGATTTAATAGTTTTCAATAATTAGTTTTCAATAATTAGGTTTATTATCCTCTACATATATACTATATATTAGCATGCCAATAAAGAAGATTCATATTATTTGGAAAGGAAGTTGAAACTTTTCGCACAAAAAAAATTAAAGAGTAAAAAATAAAATTTCACCTATGTAAAAAAAAAAAAAAGTGCATAGCATATGTTATACTAATATAGCATATATTCACTCAAACGCCCAGTCATTCTCCTTACGAACCTCCTCTTCTTCCTCCGGAGTGAAGTCATTCTTGATGTTAAAAATCTGGCGGACCTCCTCTATACTCTTCCCTTTAATCATGTCTGCTGCTGCTTGGCATGTCAGATCCAATAAGCTTTTGATGTTCAAATAGTTTGCACCCAAGATGAGATCGAAGAGAATGGCTTGGTCGACTTTGACAAAGTTGGTGTCAAAAGTTTTGAGAGCATCTTCGGAAGTGTTGTCTTCGGACTTGGGGGTCTCCACGTGTTTCTTGGAATATTCGATGATCATGGACAAGATGTTGCTGCTTACGTTCGGCAGAGGAATGATTGAATCGGCACAATCATCTTCAATCATGAGCTTGATAGTCTGCGACTCCAATGCCACGACCTCTTCCACCTCGAATGTCTTTCCATCTGAACTCCTCAACACGATCTTCTTTGAAGTCGACATAGTTGTAAATCCCTAACAGAGAGAATTTGGACGAATATCAATTAGCCCCCTCCACTACATGTATTTATATACACAAAGGAACCTAGCACCATACGGACGGAATAAGTCTAATACAATTCGGAAGCCAACAGGATTATTAAACCTGTAAGGAAACGGAAACCTAATAGTGTAACAAAACCAAAAAAAACGAAAGGAAATTTCAACAATTTGAGATATCTCCAATTTCAATTTTCTAAAATTTTACTAACCTAAAAATTAAAATGGTAACTCTATTATGTATAATTAAAAATTGGAAGTAATTATGTGTTTCTTTTTCTGAAATTGGAAGTACGTATTTCTTTTTCTGAAAGTAAAAAATCGTTTAATACCCTAAATATGTTACATAACTTAAATCTTTTCAAGCAGACAAAAGGATTAATTAATTAGATTTCAGTAACTAATCCTAAAAAAATTGGTCTAAACTTTAGAGTTTAGAGTGATTATAAAATAAATAAAAGATAAATAAACTAAGTATACAACTTAATTACATGGAATTTATTTTTTGAATTGAAAGGTGGGTTGGCGTAGCCCCAAAGGGATAAGTGGGGGCAACTGCCCCCATTGAACTTTTAATTTTTTTAAATTTTATATGGAAATAAATTTATATTTGTATAATTGCCTCCTCTAAACTTTGACAGTGCACATATATATATATATATATATATATATATATATATATATATATATAACCAAAAGCCCATTTACAGTTTTAAACCAAAAAATAAATAAATAAAAAAGGAATATAATCATGACACAATTGTAAATATATATAATATACCTATCAATTTATCACTTTCCCAGAAAATATGATATTTTCCACTTTCCCAAAATGTTATATTTTTTCCCACTTTCCAAAAAAATTGTAAATATATATAATATATTTATCAATTTATCACTTTTCCAGAAAATATTATATTTTCCACTTTCCCAAAATGTTATATTCTTTACCACTTTCTCAAAAAAAAAATATTTCATTAAGATATTTTATCACACTTTTGACCTTACCACAAACAAATAAATTGTTTCCATCACATTTTCAGTATTCAACATTTTTGGCAATTCAAACAAAGCAAGCAGAGCAACCATTTACCAGTAGACACAGACTCAGTCAGTCGTACTGCAGTGCAGCAAACAGATTCTGATTTTTTTTTTTTTTTTATCATCTAAATTTACGATTATTTTTTATATTCTAATTTTAATTAGAAAAATTATTAGTTATTACTATCAAAATTATTTGAGGGCTTGTTGTTCTTTCAAAATTTAGTTTGTGCAATTGTGTTACTAATTATTATTCTCTAAATAAAACTAAGAATTTTTTTTTTTATTTGCAACCCAAATCAATGAAATCATGGATTCACTTTATCAAATTTTCTGATTGATTGGATTATCTGATTATAACTTATAAGGTCAGATTTGGTTATCATGGATTTTTTTTTCTTTTAACATATGTGATATATTAGAACAATTAGGTAACTGTATTATTTTCTTTTTCATATACTATTCTTGATTAATTGAATATAATATATATATATATATATATATATATATATTTAATATATTTAATTGAATGAACTCAATTTTAAAACAACAATGAATAATCTGAAAAAAAAATCGTTGTGAATGTATTGAATAGAAATATTATGAATCAATGTTTTAATTTTTACATATATTGTTTTGGTTCAAATTATATATATTATTGCTATTAAAAATTGCCCCATCAAAGAAAATTTCTGGTTACGCCATGGAGAATGGTGGTTGATTACTAGTTGGTTGGATGTAAGCTGAGCAAGAAGGGAAAGGGGTAATTTAGAATATAAATTTTAATGGTGACTTTTGTGTAATTAAGTTTTAAATTTGGTTATTATTCTTCTTTAATTTTTTTCTTACTTTATGGTCATTTGGAGTAATTTTGTTTAAAATTGGCCAATAAAATCTAGTTTCCCCAATAGAATGAGAGAAGAGGTGGGAAAGATAAATTACTAAAATTAAAACTCTTTGTACTAAATTGTTATCATCTTCTGGCCTTGAAGAACAAAAAATGTGTTAAAAAAATAAATAAACAATATGTAATAAACCTAAATAAATAATTATTATCATGTGTTTAAAAATAAATAGATAAATAATGTGGTGAAACTCTTTAATAAACCTAAATAAATTATTATTATTATAATGAGAAAAATTAAAAATATAATAAAATTAGGTAAATTTATATTTAGAAAAAAGTTAGAAAGAGAATAGAATAGAAATAGTAAATTTATATTATTAAAAATATATTATAATAAGCAAAAGATAAATAAATAATGTTCTAAAACTCTTTGTGCTTTTAATAATAGATATAGATATAGATATAGATATTGATATTGATATGTACCATTTATGTATGCTAAGCAACTCCATACATAATTATTCTCGCTTATTGTTTGAGTAGCGTAACCTCATACACACTAGCTGGTGTGTCATTTGCATGACGTATCTTCTCTACACATTGGTGGAAAGGGACATTTGTCTTCATTCACTACATAATACTCAAGTTTAAAGAAATTCAACCAATTAAAACTTTCTACCATTTCTAAAATATTCTCGTAATCATCATTGACATGTTTACTTTTAAATGATTGTGTTAGTTTTAAAATATTGAGGTTTAACTTGAAAAATATATATATATATATTTAAAAAGGTTTAATTTGAAAATATATATTTTTAATTACTTTGAACAATCTTAAGTTAAATCAAAATATTCGGTTATACTATATAAAAATGATTTTAGAGAGCTTATTAAATGAACTATTAATTCTTAATAGAGACAAAGTGAGTACTGGAATTTCTTGTCAAGGTTTAAAATAATAATAATAATTAATTAATTAATTAATTATTAGATGCTAATCATAAATTATGGATCATAATATTGGGTAAAGAACAGCCATATCCCTAAGGTTTGGCAAAAGGACACACAGATGAAAATTATTCATTTTTTAGACAAAGACAACCCTTCAAGCTTGAAAAATGGACAAAGAGACATTGACAATGATGAATTGACTTTATTACCATTTGATATAAAATTGATATTTTAATTGACTTAAATGCCCTTGGATTAAACCCAAACCCAAACTCAAACTTTTATTCCTTTCTCTTTGTATATATATATATGCACATACACTACATAATCGCCGCCGCTGCCAAAACCCGCCTAATCCCAGCCCATCACCAATTGCGGCCGTCGCCACCACCCACACAATCCCAATCATCAATTGCCGCCGCCACCCGCACAATCATCGCCTCTCAAAGCCACCACCAATCCACGACCTCTCCCTTAAACCCAGATTTTGCACAACCCCTTTCTCCTTGTATATTTATATATATACACACAGATTACAAACTTTGAATAGTTGAACTGGACACGTCTAAGCAGCATCTCCCTTGTGTTGGGAGTTTATTTTATTCGTAAATTTGACTCGATTTGATTGGGTTCTTATGTTTGGGTTTATTTTTTAATCTAGCCGATCAATATCCAGCTCGGCCGACGACCATTGCGCTTGCCGAGCCGGTGTTGGTGGTGGTGTTGTAATGTGTATAATATATATGGATCCGGCTCCTCTCAGTTAAAAACCCTCTTAGAGTATCTATGATTATTCCATCCAACGGTTGAAAGAATTGCCATATATCATCATCATCTGTCCTTTCTTCGTTCTCTCTCTTCCTCCTCTTACCGTTCCCAACCACAGCCGCCACTAATTCCACCAAACCACCCCCAACAGTATTCTTCTCAAGGAGACCACTGAGTGCCTCAAACAACTGGACTCATTCCGTCAGGAAAAAGGGCCTTTGGAATCGGAGCTAACATGGTCTGAAACGAAAAAGGGGTCTTGCAGGGCGAGTTGACTTAGTTGTAGGACTGTATAGCACGACTGGAGTTGTAGAGGAACTTGGTTTCTGAATTTGTTTATGTGCATGTCAATCAACGTACAGGTTGAAGTGATTGCGGAGGAAAGAAATGGGTTTGTGAGAGAAAGAGCAGAGATTGAGGGGAGATTGTAGAAACTAGAGAGAGAAATGAGGAAAGTTGTGAGGGAGAAGAGTGAGATTGAGAAGGGGAAGAGAGAGAGAGTCTGAAATTGGGTTGTTGGAAAAGAAACTAAACAAGCTTCTTGTTGAAATTGAAAAATAAAGAGATGTATCCAAACATTTGTGTCAAGAGTGGGATGTGGTGAGGATTGAACTTGATGTTCAAATTGAGGAAACAAATGGGTTGAAAGCAAAACCTGTTGAGACAGTGAAGAGAGAGGAAAATTCAAGAAGAGTTTCAAAAACTGGAGAGAGAGTACAATGGCCTAATGGTGGAAAAAGAAGAGAGAGAAAGAAGGATTGAATCGATGACAAAGGGACATATGCCTGTGTATGTATGTGTGTGTGTGTGTGTGTGTGTATATATATGTTAGTAGATAGGGAGAGAGGCATAGATTGTGTGATAGGAAGAGAGAGATGAGAAAAAATGATAAAAGGCTCTTGTGTCATTTTGCAAGATATTTTGTAATATATCTGAATTTAATATGGAGGGGTAATTTTGTCTTTTCATATGATTTAAGGTTTTGTTTGGATGGAATTTCAGGAAAATTGATGTCATTGTCCAAAATATGAATAACTTTCATTTGTGTGTCTTTTTGCTAAACCCCAGTGAGTGTGGCTATACTTTACCCTAATATATTTTCAAACAATCTTGCCTAATCGTTTGTCATAATGGAACTGTGATTTCCCACCCCACATCGCAAAATTCTAAATTAGCCTAGTCTATGAATAGTTGGGCTGGTCTTAAATTAGCCTAGTCTATGAATAGTTGGGCTGGTCTTAAGCCCAGACAGTTTTCTTGGGCCAAACCTACACGAATATAACAGGCTTGCTTGACCTCTCAAATCTCAATTCTTTGAAGCCCAACCCAAACACATATGTATTTCATTCCCCAGTAT